TCATACCACGCCATTGTTTCTTAAATCTAAATGCCTAAAATTGCTGGACTTAGTAGAGTATCAGAACTTTACAATTGGTATTCAAAGCAAACAAAAAATGTTTACCTGGAAATATTCAGAAACTGTTTATTAAAAGGGAAGAGTCTTATAATCTGAGACACAAAAGTAATTTTAGATTCATAAATGTGAGGACGACCAGAAAAAGATTCTGTGCATCAGTAAGTGGAATAAGATTATGGAATAGATTGTCTGTGGAATTAAAAAATAGTGATAACATAAAGGTATTTAAAAATAGCTTAAAAAATACATTCTTCAAGTGTTATGAGAAACAAAAACCTTAGGAAGGAATTGAAACTATATGTTTCTATAATGTGTGTGTAGGTGCGTATATGTGTATATAAAAGTGTATGTGTATGTGTATGTATGTATGCATATGTATTTGTGTATATGTACGTATGTGTGTGCATGTATGTGTATGTCTGAATATACATATATGTGTGTAAGTGTATGTATATATATTACTTGTATATTCTGTAAAAGCAAAAGGAATGTGGAACACATAACTAAAGTAAAACACTTTTTTGGATAAGGGGTGGGACTAAATAAGTTTTTTACTTTCACCCACTCCTTTTCAAACAATTCCTCCGGAATTCATGTGAACTTAAACATTTTGTCTGTATATGCATGTTTGAAACAAACAAATAAATACAAAATACAAAATATATCACCTGTCCCGGCCTGTAACTGCATCGCACAAGCAAAAAAAAAAAAAAGGTGCATTCGATTGAGTGTGTTTTGCATATTCCGGTCCCAGGAGGAGGGAGCGGGCTGAATAAAGCACCACATTTATGCAAGCGCGGTGGATGATTAAGGGGAATTGAAATGGTGCCTGCCCTCGAGCCACACTGCACATGGCCTGAAGGGACCAGGCAGAGTCCCAGGGAAGGCAAGAGCAGCTGCCTTTGTGGTGTTGGCAGAGCAGCAGGTTGCAGAGCCGGGATTTGTATTCTAACAAGAAATACAGTCTCATACTTTCTCTTTTTGTAGTCATTATCCCAGAAGAAATGAAAGCAGAGGTGTATGTTTCTTGGAGGTGTAAAATCACATGCATGAGAACATAGAAAGGGGAACATTTGAAACATACTAAGATTAAGATTGAGATATCCTTTATTTGTCCCACAGTGGGGAAATTTCAGTGTTGCATTGCCGGTTACAGAACAGGAGCACACAACACAAGGTAAATTAAGAATAACGCTATACTAAAATAAAATATCTATTTAGCATGAAGCAAGTATAAAACCTCCAACTTTAGCATAATAAAGAAGTAAGGATTAAGTACAACATCTCTGAGTATAATAAATAAACAAGCATATAATATCCGCTACAATAATAATAATGCACCAGTATTGTTTTATATAACACTTTATTGACGCTTCCCATGTCTGCATGGAACGTTCTTTGTGGAATTGTATGTTTTTAGATTATGTAAGTTAATAGTATTTTTTAGCGAAAGGAATATTATTCCAAACCAATGGCCACGTATGAGTAAAAGTATTGTGTTTATGAGGATGCAAGCCTGCTCACGCTTAGAACAGGTTTTTATTACTTTTTCAGTGAGAAAGTGAGAAAGAAAACAAACAGGTGTGTTTTGCAACTACAAGAATATATAGATCTCTATCACCACCTTTTCCTATTTTTGCATATAGACTGTTTTACATTATGGCATTTAAAGACTTTAAACTTATATTAATCTATTTTGCACTTTGTATTGCTTATACAATTTTGCAAGTACATGTATTTCAATGTAAATTTAAATGTACTGTAAATATTTGTTATTCTTGCAATAAGCTTGTCGTCTCCATGGTGATATATGTTTAATGCCTCTTGAAAGGGCTACAATCTATATCTAAATTTGTTTTTATAGTTAATGTATAGGATATAGTGAATATAAATGAATTACAATGGAATTTCACATTATATTTGTAATATATTAAATATATATCTTGGACGTTCTACAACAACAAAAACTGATGAATAAAGTGTTGAAAATAGCCTGGAACAGAAGCACAGACTGTAAACAGTACTTGCATAATCTCGCAGCACAGCTCGAGGCTGCCCTCCCCTGGAGAAGTCCACACATGACCGCACTCCTGCATTACGCGCCTGAACCGTGAGGTGGCGCTGGTGCTTAACATGAAGAACAAACGATAGTAGTTCTGTTTAATCTTTGGTTTTGCTCAAAGCAGTGGATCTAATGGAGGCCGCCCAGTCCAGACAGCAGCAGAGAGACCGCACCTGTTCCTCAGGAAAGTGTGGCCTTCACATCTGAGCTGCTGGATCATAATTAAGACTCATTTCCTGCGCTGCGTCGGCCGGAGGGAATGAGATTACACAAAGCTTTTGACTCTCATACAGGCTGGACATTCATCTGCCATGGGGAGACACAATCTAAGAGTGTTATTAGCGTTAGCAGCAAACATGTTTTGAGAAGGAGGATTCTTATCAAGGCCATATTTTTGCCCCGATAGTAGAGGGGATTTTGAAGACTTTGTTGACTGTATCTCCCAGTCACACTGTGTGTCCTATTCCTATTACATGTGACAATGTGCATGCTTGGATATGGCCAGTAGTGGAGTAAGTCAACTAGTTATCAAGGTATCTTGTTGGAAAAGTAACTAGTTAATGTTAAAATATCAACTAACTGATAATATATCTGGAATTAAGTAAATATTTGTAGCTACACAGAATTTAACAGAATTTTATTTTGCAGTCCATGACATTACACAAACAAAACATGACAACGTTTTCCATATGAAAAAAAATAAAAAATTCAACCTTGCAAAAACAACATGAAAACATACAATGGCAAGTCAGGTCAGTGCGACTGGTTTCCTCAGCTGCAGTGTAAAGTATAGTACTGCGGATAAGCCTATACTGCCCTGAAACATCACTGAGGCAACTGTACAGACTCACTGTGACACTAATCCAGAAATAACAAGGCCTCCTCTGCACTCCCACCTCCTCTAAATGGCCTGACCTCACACTTATATTCAGCAATACAAAACTTCAGTCATTGGAGAAGAAATGAGCCAAGAGACAGATTTGTTATGGTAATGGTAAAAAAAGTAGTTTTCAATACAGGACAGAAAGTATTTCAATGTGGTTTTACTGCAAATGGCAAATAAATGAATCTGAATAAAAAGAAAAGTAATGAGCACCACCTACAAAACAATATTTTTTAGAGTTTCCTGGGTTAGTTTAACAATCTGGGAACATGTTTGTAGCAGTTACTATCGGTAAATAGCAAATACGCAATCACAACAATACTTTAAGCTGGCAATGTGCACTTATAGGCAAAAAAAACACAGAGATTATTTACATTCTTATATATTCAATCATCAAAATTGCTGATTCATGTTTGGGTCATTATTAGAAAGGTCTCAGGGTTTACAATTTGTTTGATGTAAATGATTAAAGGTGCAACTTGTGATATGTTCTTGTTTTCAGCAAATCCTAAAAATGTAAATGTTTTGGGCCGGAATGCTCCATTGTTTGACTTGAGTCAGTCTAATATTTCTGATTTACTCAACCATCTTGCCTTTCTTTGTGTAAAACTGAAAGTGGAGCAGCTTTTTGTTGCACTGTCCTTGTCAAGCACTGTGGGATGTATTTCATGACATGTGTATGATAAAATATGATGTTATTCATAACATGCACATTAACAAATGAATGCATTACAACGATCCAACAAGCAATAAGCAGGAAAATCCCTGTGTAGCAAAAGTTACATTAGAGTATATTTAAAAGCCTTGAAACTATCCCTGAAAATAATAGATAAAAATAAAAGATCAATATAGGTCAATTGATAAAAATAGATGGCGGTCTAATCGGATTCCAATATTTACCTATAAAAATAAATCTACATAACAAGTATAAACAAAATGGCGTATCACGACGTACAATTGGTCTGGTGCACTGTAAATAGAGATCACTGTAAGATGACGTCGAGCTTGTCCTGAATAACAGAATATGGCTTGATATGGTGTACACTGTAGATGACCTCATTGTTAAGAGACTGATTCTTTGCGTGGATCACTTCAGTGCAACAACAGAAGTAAGGTATGTGTGAAATAGAAATATGTATTGTTTAGTTGATAATCATTAAGGCATATATATGACAGATTTGACTTTTTTGCCAACAGTAGCTCAGTTGGTAGAGCATTGGCCTTTGAGCCCGAAGGTCGTGGGTTCGAGCCCACCACGAGACCTTCTCCACCGACTCCCACTGCTGTCGTTGTGTCCTTGGGCAAGACACTTAACCCACTTTGCATATAAGAAGCGCGGAAGTAATGTTCGCTGCTTGCCTTGATGTGTAAATGTGTATGTACTATATGTGTATGCATCAAACTGAAATTTCCCCATTGTGGGATGAATAAAGGACCTTCTTCTCTTCTTTTCAAGACATTTTATTGTATTCCTGTTTGCCAATGTTGTAGTACATAGCAATCAGGGACTCTCTGAGTGGAGTTTGTATGTTCTCCCCCTGTCTGCAAAGGTTTCCTCCGGGTGCTCTGCTTTTCCCCAGCCACTAAAAACAATAGGCAAAAATCCTCCTGTTCTGATAGTCCTGACCAAGCCAAGCATCAACACCTGGAGATGGGTCCTCCGGCGCTGTACTACCACCACTGCTCCCATACGGGGACAATAAAGTACAACTGAACTGAAGTGAATTACCAACAGAAACTTGTACTTCTCAGTGTACTTGTCTGCGGACCTGTGTGATCATCCGCTCCGTTTGAAAATGTATACACTTCTATGGCCGCTCTGTTAAAAAACACATTTGGCAGTGTATGGATATATAAGTTTGATACAAATCTGTCATATACACATAATTGTATATTGGTTGCAAAAATAGGAACACGTATAATTGTATTGGGACAAGCTAAAGTTTCTATATGTTTGTGCTACAGATTGGTCTCTATTTGCAGTGCGCGCGATAGTCATACGGACGACAACACGTCTCCCATGTCGTTGTACGGGTCTTTCTTCTCGTCCTTCTCCACGTCGACACTTCCTGGTTTTACCGTGACCTCATCTGCCTCCACTTCCTTGTACTTTCCCGATGTGTCCTTTTGGAAAACCTGCTGCAGCCTCTTCTTCACTTCCGCATCCGGGCAGAAGAGGTATTCGTACAGACCGGCGGCGAGAAGGCCTCCCAGTATCGGACCCAGCCAGTATATCTGCCATATATACAAACAGTGCAATTAGCAGAATGATGAGTTGTGTTTTGGTATCAAGCGCCGAGCAATTAACTACACATAGCTGCTTAATCTCCTCGTATGGAAATCCACTGAATGCATGTATTTAGAGCTAATGCTATTTACACCTTGTTAATTCAGTCCAATTATTTATCCACAGATGGTAGTGATTTACATGTAGAATGCCTTGAAGCCAAATGCATATGTTTGTTAGTATGTATTATTGTCAGGCAGTGGTGTCACATCTGCTGCAATGTTTTAGGCTACTGTACTGACTTGAATTAGTAATGTTGCAGCTTTTATCTGTTAAAACCGACTTTGATACAAAGTTGCACAAACAAAAGGTGATTTTTGTGCTTCCATGCGTGTAGTGTGGTGGAGTGAAGAGCGAGCTTTAGTGTCGGGATTCAACATATATCTAGGTTCTCTGGTTCACTGTCAGATTTGAGCCCATTTGAAATCTTGTCTACCATGCATTATGATTAATCAAGTCATCTAAGACCTTTTATACTTTCCACGGAACATGCTTCTCCTCCCTAACCTAACCTTTACCCTAACCCTGACCAGAATGAGTCAAAACAGAATGAGTTAAAAACAGAACAGGAAGTGGAAGTTCACCAAAGGGTACAGTATGTAAAAAACAGGTTCTCATCCAATTTTACTTATGGCATCACTACACATGATAGAAAATAAAGGTATTGTTATATTCTAAATCTAAACTACATTTTGAAATTTAATGGAAATATTATATACGTAAAATTATGATGTCGTCTTTCTTCTGTGCAGTGCAGGCCCTATGTAGATGTGTGCGCTTGGTGTGCTACAGATTTACACGATAATTCATTATAATAAACAATCAAACAATCGAGGCAGTAAAATTATAATCAGAGCATTTATAAATCAATGAACTGGGCTAGTCATTTTAGACCTACTACCAAGCAGCAACCAGCCCAGATAAATAAAAGAGATGTCTTATTTTGATTTTATTTAATTCATAAATATCATGAAAATATTGAATGTCTTACATTTCTCGACATATTTTCTCAAACATTTGGTGAATCACCTTTTGAGTCAGTACATCTACTTCATTGGGGCATCTCTCACTTGGTTTTTAACATGACTTTATCATCAAGCTGCATCTCAACCATTTGGTAAAAGCCTAAAATAAAAATAAAACCACTATGGAGTTTGAAAAAAATAGGGTTCAGATTGCTGTTCTGTATGACTACTACCTTCCCCTTCGTCCTGTGTCACTGGTCTCACTGGCTGACTCAAACACCACATTCATACATTGGAATGGGTGTGAAGAGTCTGACTAAGTGACACAAGACATAGTCAGACACTTCCAATTAACGGACGACCCAACCTCTGCCGTTGCACCGTTTATCCGTATTCAATCTACTATTATTCCATTTTTTAAACAAACGCCTCTGGTTTGAAAAAGTACCATGTGATTTCCTGTTAGGACGACAGTTAAGTCTGGTTTTGTCATTAGGGGCTCTGCCAATGGTGGTATAATTATCCGACTCAATTCAACCTGTTCCACAAGCCCCCAGACTCAGAGCTTGCCATCTCCTTGACATTAGAACATATACAGTAGTCAGTTACAAGAGCTACAAGTCTGAAAAACTGAAATAGTGGCTCTCCTAAAGACACATGTGCAATAGTTTGTATGATGTTGAGCGATTACTACGATGCAATGGTGTATTTCTTACCCAGTGATTTGTAAATGTTAGAGTGACGAGAGCTGGTCCGAATGAACGTGCAGGGTTCATACTCGCTCCTGTGTAAGGAATCTGAAAAAGAAACGGGAAATTATTAACCGTTTGTAGTGTAGACCCGAAACATAACATCGATCAATCAATACACTTTTTTTTGTAGCGCACCTTTCCTACAAAAGGCAACACAAAGCGCCTCAGAGTCACAACCCATATCACATCAAGCATAAATCATAAACATTGAAATCTACATAAACAGTAAAAAAATACAATAAAAATCCCACAGGGCATTAAAACATACATTAAGATCACAAGAAATATTAAAAACATAAAAAAATATAAAATCACACAAGCAATTCAGAATAAATAGCCACGGTGCATTGAAAAGGATAAAGATAAAATCATTCAACATGGTGTGAATTAAAACCTTTTGGAACTATTATGCACTGATTTTAGCCTTTAAACATAATAATGATATTCTTTACTTTGCCGGTTTTCAGAATGTGAGTAGAACATTTTAAGTAGAAAATAATTGATTAAAAACAACAATATATTCACCGGCAACTCCCAAGGCTACCACCAGAGGAAGGAGTTACGTTTTTCAAATGCGACGCAAAAAGCCATGCGATTGTAAAGACTGTTGTTGACCTGGGAAATTTCCAAACCGAATCAATCAAGCACTGAAACATTGTATTATTATCATGGATCTAAAAACAACTCCTGCTCTGTTTTTGATGAGGGAACAATGTTGTAACCTGCTTTAAGGCCGGTGCTCTTCAATAACTCAGATATAATTTTCAAAGCAGTAACATTTTGGATTATGCTGAACCATGAATCATGCGCAGTGGGGAAAAAAACAAACATTTATATCAGTATCATTGTTTGTGTGTCATTATTATAACCGTGAAATGCAAAGGTCAACAATGTATATTTTAATATTGCATTTTAGCCAAATCTTGTTAGTGATCTCCAGAAGTATTGTGTGGTACAAGCAGTTGGCATTTTCTGTATTTCGCTGGTGCTTTCCCCGGCTCTGCGGATCCCTGCATGGCCCCAGGAGCATTGTTGCCAAGCGATAGAGGCCTCCAATAAAGTTGTGCATGTTGGTGTGAATCACGGAGGCACACGCAACATCACACACTCATAATGAGATATTTTATGCAAAGTCTTTTTAATATTACAAAAACAGGTACATATCTACATCTTGAGATATATTGTATAGTAGTTTAACATTACCGCCTGATATATGGTGTGGTGTCTGCTATTATTAATATTCTTTAATTCTACATGCATTTATGGGTTTTCATATATAAAATGTGATGGGGCATGTCAGCATTCAATTACTAAAGACTGCTGACACTTCTCTCAGCTCATAAGATTTCATGTGACTCTGGAAGGACAATAGGATCGCAGACAGAGGCCTGTCATGGGATGGTATGAGACTGCAATACAATGGATGTATGGTTTGTTATAATTGTGTCTTATGACATTTGGGCCAATTGCAGAGACAGCTGACTCGACCCTTCTCTGGGGTCAATGGGGCTGTGGACATCTGGGAGTACAATGGGCCTCGTTCACGAACCGTTCTTAAGAACAAATTTGTGCGTAAATCCTACTTACGAGGATTTTACGAAGATTGTGGCATTCATGAAATTTTCTTGTAACCAGAATTTCTCTTGGGTACGTACAAATCCTACGAGTGCTCAGGAGCACATCCAGTGCCGACATGTTTGCACGCTGGTGTTATGAAGTTCAATAAAACACAACATTACAGTGATATGTCCGTCATATTGATGTATGTAATTCTTCATTTCATTGTTTGTAGTACTTAAGCCTATTTTTTAATTAATTATGAAATTAAATATGCCAACACTTTCTTTATCCACGGGCCACAAAACAATGGCATATCAGATTCAGATTCAGATTCAGATTCAGTTTATTTGCCATTTGCAGTAAAAAAAACCACATTGGAATACATATATCTCCGGATCTATTACGGGTCCGCGCTGGTCTCTCCAGTCTATGGTCTCTCCAGTCTAGTCTCTCCAGTCTATGGTCTCTCCAGTCTAGTCTCTCCAGTCTATGGTCTCTCCAGTCTAGTCTATGTCTCTCCTCGGGTCTGCGATGGTCTCAGCGCTGGTCCGTGCTGGATCTCCTCCCACAGTCAAAAATATTTTGACATTTTGAGATTCATATTTAAATTAATACATACTTTATTTTTAAAATAATCTCATAACATTCTGAGATTAATCTCAAATTATTTATAGATAAATCTCATAATATGTATAGATTAATCTAATAATTTTGCTAGTTCGACTTCATTGTCATAATATTTCGACTTTAAAGTCAAAACGTTATGACTTTAATCTCAGTCCTGCAGCCCTGCAGTCCCTTATATGGGTATTAATGGGCGGTTACCTATATTAAAGGAATAGTTCACCGCGGACGTAGCGCTCCTAACTTCTCTGCGCACTAACTTCTCTCCGGAGACTTCTCTCTCGCTGCTACTGTGTGTATTACAAGTCACGCTGCTTCTATTGACGGAAGTGAGCGAGAGAGAAGTCTCCGGAGAGAAGTTAGTGCGCGGACGTAGCGCCCCTCAGATTACTACGCCTCACAATATAGTACCCGTTTTATCCACTGAGAAAATCGACTGTTACATTTCTGTGTTACTATACTTTTCAGTGTAACACGTCACGTAACTATATACATTTAATAGGGAACACTTGGAAGAGTTTGGTAGCTTCTAGCGGGAGCTACCTTTTGCTGCTACAAAATATACAGAGGAGGCTGCGGTTGTGCTCCCGTTTTTGCTCCGTTTGCATGACAGAGCGCACGGACTAAGACCAGACAGGTACGTATTAACTAGTCTAAGGTAAGGTAAGAACATATGTCAGTGTGTAAAAACGGTAAACTATTCCTTTAAGTACCTATGCTAATGCCTCACCTAATGGCTCTACTTACGAGGAGTTGGCATGTATTTATGACATTCTATGACTTGACCAACCCATGACGCTCCTCTACTACTATAAGGAGCAGCGTCTGTTTCATTCTTGGTCTTTTCTGCTATTCCATCTTAGCAGGACCCGGGCTAGGTTAGTCTGTAATTTGTCTGTATTCTGCTTATTTACACTAAACCATCTTTTTTATATCTACGCAGAGTTTGTAGTTTCCATTCACTAATCACTGGTCTGTGCGGGAGGGAAACCCAGTTAGATTATTTACTACAATGGCTTTAACAAATATCAGCAAAACACAAAGAATATGTATAAAGACCTCATTCATCTGGGACCCCATAGTGTACATACAAGACCTGAATGAAAATCAAAATGTTTTGTCCCAACCACTCTTAGACGACTGAACTCTATGTTGCTTGTTGGTGATATTATTGCTTGTTGACTAATTTTTTTAATTTGTAATCACTTTTTTATGTATGTCTACCTGGAATGGACCTTTTACTCTTGTGTCTGAAATTAAGTATTGAATTGAGTTGACTTTGGTGTTTGAGCTTATATCATATCGCTTACTGTCTGACAAGTGCCCCTGGTGGGATAAATAAAGTAATCTGAATCTGAAAAAAATGAAAAATACTTACTCCAAACAGATGTCCAATGGCTACAGCCACACCAATGGCCAGTGCAGCAGACCCGCCCAGATCTGTGCGCTTGGAGTCACATGTGGCAAAGACCGTGAAAACCAGTTCGAATGTGATGATGATCTCCACCAGAAGACCATGTCCCACTGAAATGTCTGAGTTGACCTTAGAGAAGAAATGTGTTAATCATAGAGACAGAGCTCGAAAGTGCAGGTAAATGTTGGCTCTAGCCTTATACCACATTGACAAGTTTTGGTGTTAAGCAAAATGGGATCTACTGCAGGCAAACAATATTCGTCATCTATTTGAATTTGTGGTTAAAGACAATGTAAAAGTATTTTGTTTGGCTCTTTTTCTAGTATGCAAAGATAACGTTTTCTAGTGAATCACATTTTGACGCTTTGGGCTGAGTTAGTTAGTTAATTAGCAACTTCTTGATAAGGTTTATTTTTTTCTAACAGGCCCTGTACTATACACTTTTATTTATTTATATATTTTCATTTCATTTTGACGATGAGAACTGGTGATAGAATAACTACCACCAATAACATTTGTAGTTGAGAAGAGCTGTACCAATGGGCAGGAGGTTCTTCTTTTCATATTTCACTGCAGCACTGGTCAACAAGCTAAGTCTCTTTCTTACCTTTGGGCTAATTGACCCGCCACAGTGATTCAAGAAATACCCTATAAATATGTTTTCTTAAGCTGAATTTAGATGACTTCTCATAACTGGACCAGCCCTGGATAATTTTATCCTTTTTTACCCTAATTTATAGTATTTTTCTTCTACATTTTATCATCTGTGGCAATTCAGGATTTAACTTTTGGATTTTTTTCTCCAGCCAATAACTGCACATTACCAACTTCACTGCGACCCTTACGTCATTGACTCCAAAGGACCCTCGCACTTTGGCGGGCGTGACCATGTAGAGCAGCCCCGCCCCGGTGACGGCTCCCAGGCACTGCGCCACCACGTAGAAAAAAGCCTTGGCCAGACTCAGCTTCCTGGTCACCACCATGGCAGCGGTCACAGCCGGGTTAATGTGGCCTCCGCTGATGTGTCCGAAACACTGCACCATGGTGGCGATGCTCAGGCCGAAGCACAGGGAGATGAGCACCAGGTCGGCCGGAGGGGGGTTTTCTTTGCCCGCGTGCCAGTTGATGGTGGAGCCTACGCCCAGGAAGACAAAGATGAGGGTCGCCACGTACTCAGCAGACACAGCCCTCCAAAAGTCCTTGGTCCAGACCCCTTTGAACGCCACCATTATGCTCCCGCTGTTGCACCAGGTCAAGAAGCTCCTGGGCAAAGAGAACAAGCAGCCAAATGATGAGGCTATTTATACATCGCATTGTGTGTATTTAGTTGCAAATGTGTGCAGTGTTATCTAAAGGTCTGTTTGTCTGTTTCAGAAGGTAGTGGAAATAGTGTTAGTATCGGTTCAATGTTATTGGTTAATCTGATATCCTGTTTTGGCCTTTGCAGGTGACGTAAGAAAGCTGTTTGCTGGATGATTTTACTGGATACATTTTTACTAAAACAAAGTTGTTTTGTAGCAACTTCCAGATAATGTTGTAACAATGATTTGAATTGTATTTCCCCCAGGTCCCTATGTTGTATCCATTGACTGTAAATATAAACAGATGTAGTGACGCCTATTTCCTCCGTTGAAAATAAAACGTATGTGTGACCAACATGCACAATTTCAAAATGGCCACATGCATGCGTTAGCCGGCACGAGCCCGACACATGACATTCATTTAACGAGTGCATTCAAAAGTCCACAGCGGATAAACTAGGCTGGTCCAAGAAAATACCCCTCTCAGCATTGACACGCATCTGGAACGTACCGTTGAGCCAAGAGCCAATTTTTGGACCATGCTGTAAAGCCTGGGGCGACAGTAGCTCAGTTGGTAGAGCATTGGCCTTCAGGCCTGAAGGTCGTGGGTTCAATTCCCACCTCTACACCTTCTCCACTGACTCCCACTGATGACTGCTGTCGTTGTGTCCTTGGGCAAGACACTTAACCCCACTTTGCCCAAAGCCCCCACTGAAAGATCAAGGCTATGCTCACACTCAGAGAGCAGCCGTCCTCCTGTGGACTCACCACCTGCAGAGGATCAGTGAGGGGCTGGTGCTATGAGACTTGGGTGGCATCTCTGATTGCCACCCCCCTGACCCAGAAATGGATTAAAGGGTAGAAAATGGATGGATGGATGCTGTAAAGCCGTTTTCGAGAGGATAACAGGCGCCATAAGAATTCATTGGACAATTCTCTTTCCGGGTACACCACCACCAGCAAGGAGTCAGGAGTCAGTGCACGTGTTCATGAACCCTTTTAAAGATTGGTTTCAGACATATAAAAACCTGGAGCATCCCTAGTCATCATCGTTATATGTACATTTACCCAAAATTGGCCAAGATTAAAACATGGATGGATTGCATATTGCGGGTTGAAACATGCTCAGAAACGTCCACCAAGTTTTCTGTTGCGCTAAAACTTTGGAGCTGTAACAATATTGTAAACAGATATCATACATTCAGACTTTTGGGATTCATAGATAATCTGTTCTACTTTCTCTTTTGCAAACCGGACCAAAACAAGAGGCTTCCAACGAAATGTGCTTACACAATTAGTACACTCTATTTTATTGTCAATTCATCATAGCCAGGTAATTAAAGCGCAGGGAGAAGGTAAGAATATAAAATTGTGGTAGGCCATAACCATACAAAAATGAAGCTTAAGCGCAAATTCAGACTGGAAGATCATCTCATGCTCATCTTCTTCGCCACCAGGTTCTAGGCCCCGGAGGTCGCAAGCTCATAATTTCTATCATACTCCTTTCTGCATACGTCATGCAGTATTCTTGTCGGGGTCTAATCACAAATCTTAACAATACCATTATTAGTACGCAATCTAAGTTTGCTGATGTTTATTCATGCATCTTGACAATAGTTATTCTAATGCAATCTTCATCTCGAGTCTTTCCAGATTGAAATATGTAGATGTTAAAGTATGAGAAGAATTGAAAGAACATTTAATAAAGGCCACATCAAAAATAATGAGACTATATATTTTCGGCCTCCAAAAACCACTCTATCGGCACACACTTTTGGTTGATTATAATTTGTGTTTGCATTTAACACTAGAACCAAAAAGCTTCTCCTCATTAGCAAGTTTAGTTTAGTTAGTTAAAACACTGAACAACAGCAGCAACAACAAAGAAATAATATAATTTATCCTCATTAAACAATTGATTTGGTCAAAAGGACTTATTTTGTTTAGCCTTTATAAATTTGCAGCAAAACTTGCAAAGGCATCACACTGAACTGAAAACTAATTATAATACTTATTTGAACAAAGAGATTCATATTGTCAGACGTTTACCTCCCTATTAAGTGTTCTTCTTAGATATATTCAATGAAACTACAGCATATACAAAGGGATGATTCCAAATGTATCCAAACCTTTCATGAGTATAGGGCATGTATCTAAAGTTCAATCTATAAATACTTGTCCAAATAATTTCTTACACATTGCATACAGTACATATATATCCACTCACCTGCAGCACCTTCTGGCTCTCTCTGCCCGCTCTGTGTTTGCGTTCATTTGTGATCAACCTGCTCAGGCTGCAGTCTCATCTTCTCTTCCGCTGTGTTGAGAGTCCTAGCCTGGTTTTACTCACGCCACAAGTCTGAAAGCAGCAGCAGAGGGGAAAAAAAGTGTCCCTCACTAGAACATGATCCGCACAATACCACCGTGATGGCACCACTACGCAGCTTTATTGAGTTACCAAGGAGGGCATCACCTCATGGGAATTAACTGACAACTGAAGAGGCGGGGTTAAGGAGAAAGGGGAGGGGCCATGTCTCATCTCTGTGTATAACTCAGCATCTTGGGCACAACACACACAGCAGTAATTTATGATGATTGCTGTGGATGCTGGGTTCAATTTATGGTCCAATATTGATTTCCCTCAGTCGTAAGCAATAAAATACACAATATTTATCTTTACTGCCCTTCCACATGAACTCGGTTTGTTTGTGAAGGCAAAATCTAATGAACTGCGGGATCATATGAACATGCAGACACTGGGCCAAGATAGAAATGAACTGATGTGACGTCTATAGAAAAATATAAACATTAGGCATTTTTCAAAACTTATCCTGATGATAATATTGTACTTTTTCTTCCCGATTTGAAGAGCACATAGAATGTAGTTTGCTTACATATGGTTGAACTACAAAAAATTAAATGTGTATCTTAAATCTATAGAACTCTATCATGTAGAAATACAATGGATGTATGTGTTGACTGCTGCTAATTTTCTACGGCCAATAGTAATTTTTCTCATTTTACTTGATGATTCTATTCATAACTACTACTACTATTTTTGTTGGTACAATTTTGCTGCTTTGTTTTGAGTCAAAAGGCAAAACTCTTGATTCAAATCTACGTCCCCACCCTCATATGGTCATGAGATTCAGGTAATGACCAAAAGGACAAGATCGCGGATTCAAGCGGTCGAGAGAAAGGTGAAAAGCGCGGTCACACAGGAGAAGCTCGGAGTAGAGTTGCTGCTTGAGAGCTCATCATTCCCCAGGATGAGCTGGAGAAATTGTGTGTAGAGAGTAATGTAAGAAAAATCTGCTATCTGCTTGCATTCAAATATTTTAAGTTTAAGTTTAAGAGTTTTTATAAGAATTATGAAAAGAAATGTCTTCATAAATTATTTCATGTAGAAAACCTGAACCCCTTTCATATAAAACAGAATGGAGCCAAAACATCTGTCTTTATCCAGATTAAGAGATTAGGACGTTGGCAAACATGTGGTCATGATCAGCGCATCAGACAGAAATAACAACAAAAAGTATGCTCCGTGACGTTCATCTTATAGAAACAGCAATATTGATTAACTACTGTAATTAATTTTTTTGTTATTATTATTATTATTTCAGGCAAACACAGGAACATCACAGTTGCTATTATCATAAAAAAACATTCCTATAGAAGAATAAGAAGGTCCTTTATTCGTCCCACAATGGGGAAATTTCAGTTTGATGCATACACATACAGTATATATACAGTACACATACACATACACATCAAGGCAAGCAGCGAACATCACTTAAGCGCCCCTATTGGGAAAAGTGGGTTAAGTGTCTTGCCCAAGGACAAGTGGGAGTTGGTGGAGAGGGTCTCATGGTGGGCTCGGACCCACGACCTTCGGGCTCAAAGGCCACTGCTCTTCCAACTGAGCTACTGTCGCCCCATAACAACAACCTATCAATACACACCTCCTATATCACCAGAAAAGCATATAGAAAATTATTAAAGCTGGTTTTAGGACTACTACTACTATAAACATGTTTTCAAGGGGTTAAAAGAGAAGAAAGGTCAAAGATTATATGCCAATTTTTTAGAGCACACACACCCTACAGACATGATGAGTTGCATTCCTGTTTTATATTTTGATGACAAATCAAATAGTTCAATAAAAAGCCCACCACAATCAACCAGACACGCACAAGTTATTATTGCTATCTTGATCTGGAAAGAGCTGGATTCTGTCATTTTTCTGGTTCCGGCAACTATATTTTTGACATTTTCTTGTTTTTCAAAACCAAGACACACATTTGTTGTACAATGTCCCTCTCAGATAAAAAACAAATAAAACAGATAATTAAAAGTATATGCGCGTGTAGGAATAGGGCAAGTGTTCACATGTGATTTGGCTCTGTTTACATTGGACATTCTTACATGTTTGTGGGTCCATGCGCTGCTTAAGGCATTATCAATGATTAACCAAACAGGTAAGATCAAAATGTCATTATAGGAGAGGAAATCTGATTATGTGTTCAAAGCTAGAGAAAGTGAAAAAAAAATGCACTCCAGAAAAATTTAACAGAAGATTGTACTTGTCCACAGATCTGACTTGTGACTTGCCCTTGTACCGTACAGTTGGAAATGTCTACATTGATGAGGAACATTTTTGACAGAGCAATTGTATGTGACATCACGCCAGAATATGATTATGTATACTGAAAACAGATTGGTATCATGAATAATTTTTGAAGATTTTGAAGATACTTTGTAAATCCATTTTCTTGTATATTCTTTTTAATTATGAGGTTTACTTTCCTTTCATTATTTTACTTATTAAATGTCTTAAATGTGTTAATGTAGGAACTAGAGGCAAATTTGAATTGTTTTGTTTGACTTTCAACTAGACTCTATTCAACATATTGTTTTATGGTCTTGAGTCACAACATCGATCGTCTCGGAGGACTTTACAACATTGTCGATTCACCAACAACAGATCAGAGAATCAAACCATTTGAGCACAGGAACTGCAGTAATAACAAATACATAGAAGCCATAGGGACATCGGTCCATAGCAACCGGGATGACCAATAAATGTTAATAAATGTTAATAAATGTCCTTAAATATCCCGGATTATCACAGACCCTTATCTTTTGGCAGAGTCCTAATCTCTCCATTGTCTTTGTAAAGCGCTTTGAGTTGGAGTCCTGTCTGAAATGCGCTATATAAACATATTACAACACATATATATGAAGAGCACTGTACATTTTCAATTCTGTTTTATTACCCCATCAGTTGGAAATAAAGCACAAAAGACTTCATAAACATTCCGGGACAATCCGTGGTGTTGGCGGGGTATGTGCTCTCCGAGTGCAAGTTCTAGTTTCCATGCTGTTTCGGATCCCCTATGCACTCATTCTGATCTGAACACATTTTTTTATTATTCAGCGCAACTTAACATGTCTTTAATATGGTAAATTAATACAGTTATGTTATTAACTCTGTTCTTACTGAATATGTAACTGATTTGTCCCTCTGGCTGGCCCGTAGTTATCGCACCGGTCCCCTTTGCTCTGAATACTTGTGGAGGCTGAAGGTGATAGACCCACATGTCTTGTGTTACAGGCAGCAGAGGTGAGACGCCAGGCACAAGTAGGATACACACATACTGCAAACAACTGGACCGTCGCTCCACATGCAGTGTCACCCCAGGAATCTTTGGAAAAGAGCATTTAGGGACAGGAAGAAGTATGACGGATGACATATGTGTATTTGTGGACAGACGCTTTTGCCGCTGTGGAATAACTCAAAGCTTTATGAATTTCTCTGTGATGCAATATTTTGGTGAATTAAAGGAGAAAAACAGAGACACACTTTGATTACTTATGTTCTTAGTTACCACATGCACAACTCACACAAGTAGTACTGTAGTCTGCCCAGTTTTTATGGATGGTTCCCATTTTTTTTTTAATACAAGACAACATTTTGAACAACATTATATCTTGCGTTACAAGCAATTTATAAATATTAGGGCTGTCAAACGATTACAATTATTTAGTTGATTAATCGCACAGAAATTAACTCCTGATTAATCACATTTTTAACATTCTAGTTCAAATCCACCCCAATTTAAGTTAAATGAGATTATCAAATGTAATGACACATTGTCATTCATATAAATCTGTTTGATTTGCTCACAACCTTTTACTTTTGGGAACAACCAACATGAGCTGTTAATGAAAGGGAAAATGTACGTACCCCAGCTTTAATTTTGTGAGTTCAGTTGCCTTTCAGGAGCATTTCCTGAGGACATTTCCTGAGGCTCCATAGTTCAGCTTCAGAGGTGTATTTTTTGCGTGCACAGGTTACGCAGAGACACGCACACAACATGGAGAGAATAGTCCTATGTTGTGTATGGTCTTGGATAAGACCACTTTACTGCGGCGCCATTCGCCGTGTTATTGTTAGCGGCTCACAGCCGCTGGGGGTGGGAACCTCTGTTCAAAGCGGGTGCAGATGCCCCGGGTCAGAACGCTGCGGCCACGGAGGATGCAGACTTCAGTTCATAGCAAACAACAGCAAGTGCCCCGTGGCCACGCGCGTATTATTTTAAAACTTGAATTCCTAGAGACCTGCTCTGTCTCCATCTCACACATGCATGAGTCCGCGGCATTCTGAGGGATATTATGGGATACATGGGCGGGTCATTCGGACATGCGTCAATGCATTAATTGTTTTTTTACGCAATTAATAAAAATGTTAACGTGCGTTAACGCAATCATTTTGACAGCCCTAATGAATATAGATTGATTAATGTCAGATTTGTCTCAATTTTTTGTTCATAAATATGTTATACTTTGAAATAAATTTACACCTAAATACATGTGTGTACACTCATTTATTGGCCGATACATTTTTCAGTTTGTAATGTAGACTTTTTGTTGTCCTAACCCTAACCAGAGAGAGAGACCAGAGAGAAAGAGAGAGATAGAGAGAGATGCTATAGGGAGAAAATAAATAAATAAACACATATTAAAATAAGCACATACATACACACCCATGGCACTTGCATAAGCCACATAGGCCCCCAGGATGTGAATATATTTACTCACAGCAATATTTGTGGACAGATAATATCATACTTTATAAAGGGCCCCCCCAAACAGCACTTTGACCAGGGCCTGATAGAGCCTCAAACGACCCTGTCCAGCACACATTAATTACCGATGCATGTATTTACCATGATACATTTGCCCACGAGGCTTGCCCAATCTCCTCTTCATGC